AGTGCAAGAAAGACTCGCAGATGATGTATGTAGTAAACTCTAAGGTGACTGTATGACATCTAATACCGTACCGATTCAACACTTAAGGAGTGAGCAGGAAGAAGCAGACACCCGTATGCTCCTGAATGGTCTAGACGCCACAAAGAGAGAAGATCAGAGCCAAGATACAGATGAACCTCGTTCTGATGCTCTGGACTTACAAGAGACTTTGTCTGGATACTACATTGACTGCAGAGTCAGAAGGAAAAGGAAGAAGTACTCCACCAGGACCACTCCACGAGGTGGTCGGAGAAGACCTCGTAAACGCTTTACCTGGCTTTCACGCTTTATCAGGATGTGATCAGACAGGCACCATCCCGGGGGCACCATCAGTGGAAAAGGCAAAGTGTGTTTTTCGAATAATCTAAAGAAAGCCAAACTACCGATGCTCGATGCCTTCTCTAGCCTAGGAAACAGCTACACCATCCTGGCCAGATGATATGTACATAAAGCTAAAGCGCTTCGTCTTCCAATAGTACATCCCATCGACACAGCTGAGAGAGCCATAGGAGAGGTCAGATTCTTTCTTTATAGCAAGAAACAATAAGTAGATAAACCGCTACACCCTGCTATAGCAGCCCTACACAAGATGACAGCCCAATACTAGCATTCTTAGCAGAACGTTACACGGATGGCAAAAAGATGGGGATGCAGCCTGTTCCAACCACACTCCCTACCAGCATCTTTGGCCGTTCTGCAGCTGATCCAGTGTGGATGAAATTCGCATGCAACACAATGAGCTGTACGTGCAGGAAGCACAAACTCTAATTATATAATGCACAGATATGTCTGGGTCATGTAAATTGACACGTACGAACAGGAACTTTAACACTGATACAGTTAAGCATGTTAAAAGGGATAATAGTGACGATGAGGACCTTCAAATTTAGTCCCATCAGCTAAGAATACTAAATTTTCGGAAAAGGCATTATAGGGGCTTTATATGATAGAACAGACTTAAAAGCGCGCTTTACACAGTTTGTTTTGCATTATGTGAGTTATTTCGGCTATGTATAACAAAGGCAGACTTGAGTACCCTGTGTTTTAGGGGTCATGAATGTAATTTGCATAAATTAATCTTACATGACTTCGAAAAAATTGCAGACAGCTTTCTTACGATAAAACACCTCTTAAACTTTAGATTTCTTCCAAGAAACTAAAATGTTCATGAAATGCCCACGAGATTACACATGGCCCCGGACTATAACGGCTACCGTGCCCGCCGGAACGTTATTTACAAAGCGAAACGAAACAGGGGCACCCAACGAGAATATAGTTCAAAACCACTTAAACATAGCACTGGTAAACGTATTTTAGTATTTAAACGGTAGATATAGGCATATTTTTATCCCCTAAAAATTTTTCATCTGTTCGGATTTCCTAGCTGAAAGCATGGCGAGCCGCAAGCCTTAGCGACCGAAATATGGGGGAAAATTTGTCCCCCATCTGACCAGAAGGCCATTGTTTAAATTCAGCCAAGCATAGACCTTTGACAGCTTGAAACCATACTTGAGCAGAAATGCGAATCTCCTTTCGTGGCCTCCTGTGAAGCTTTATCCGACATATCTTTCAACCGCTCATTTTAGCAGACACTACTAAAAAACTGATGAGACGAACACGGACACAACTAAAAAAAAGAACCTGGTAGAATGAAAATCGCTCCAAAACAGTGCATCAGTTGGAAAACTTGTGACGGTGTAGAGGAGTTTTGCACAAATTGTCAAACGGGGGATACCTCAGAATCAATATGCATTTATTTACCGAAGATGAACGAAGTGCAGTGATTTAAATTTAATAGAATTTACATTAACTATAAATTCAAATAGTTTTTACAGTAGCTTTCTCTGGGGAGCAGAATTTAAATAGAAGACTTCACCGGCCTTTTCTCAAAAAAGGCAATAGTCCCGCTTTAAATTCTGCTACCCCAAAATTTATATTTCTAAATCTAAGTAGCTTTCTTTTTCTTTTAAAAAATTTTCACGGGGGAATCAATATGAATCTTGGTTGATTGGTTGCGTCCATCGCGGTCCAGCTGTGTTGAGAACGCATGCAACAACGCAATATTACGCAATAATTACTGGATTTATTGTTGTGCAAAGAGTGTTTTAACTGTAAGATAATTTTCTCATTAATTGAAACAAAGATCTGAGCATGAAGTGACAACTATAAATCGCACTGGATCATGGTGAAGCATTTAAAGATCGGCAACAAGCAAAACAGTTGAAAAAAGATCAGAGATATAGCAATTTGGCCGCTACGTGTCTATAATGTATCGGTCAAATCGAAGCTTCAACATGCCCCCCCCCCGGGCATACCCCGGGCATTTGACACCTTTGCCGTCCCGGGGAGGAGGGAATTTGATTATCAAAGTCTTCTAGGGGGTGGGGAATTTGATCCCCATGCTTAAGGGGTGGGGAATTTGAACTGCACCCTCGATTTCATGTAAAATCTTTGGCGTGGCGAGCTATCATGGAGGACGTGGTGTTGGCTGTGTATAAAAGTGGGACGGGGACAAGGGGACAGGGACATCGGGACGCGTGTGTGGGGACTTGGGACTTGGGGACGCGAGATGAGGGACTTGAGGACGTCAACTATGGGACGCGGGGACGTGTGGGACGGGGACGCGGGGACGTCAAATACAGGGACGCAGGGGAGGCAGGATGTGAATGATTATTGCAAAAGTCGCAGGTAAATGCGATATCAGTCACTTTCCTCGTGAATGTGTTTTGGTGAAAGGAAACCCACCCTGCCCTCCTTAGGGTTCCTCCATGCCTGTTTACGAAGAGAACACTCGGCGAAGATCCCCTGCATTGAAGCAAGTGAAACCGTTGTCCTAGTCTTCTTGCTGATGGAATATTGGAGCCAGTAGGGTAGGGTGGGTTGCGGTCGCCAAAAATTATGTAGAATAACAGCATTCGATTCCAAATAAATAAAAATTAAGTGGCATTAGCGAGCTTCGAATCCCGAAGTTCTAACTCCGAAATCCATCGCCTGTACCACGAAACCACGAGGGATTCAACTATTGCAGCAATATTTATTTTGTTCTACATTTTTAGTGGCAAACCTAACAGTAAATGCTTGCTAACAGTACTTAAAGGTTGATTTCCACCGACGCGTTTTTGGCTATGCACGTTAACGCAAGTAAATTTTAATCACGTAAATAAGATAGGCAAGATATAAATTGTCGAGATTAAACGTGAAGTTGAGCGAGATTCTACTTTTACGCTTACGTGCGGCCTTTCAGACACTGCCTCTATTTTATGTGCGAACGTAAATTTTATGCACGTAGGCATGGGAAAATTACGCGACAGTGGAAATCAACCCTAAACCTGTCAGTGGGCTTTTAATACTTCTGTTATAAAGAAATATTTTGTGTAAACATCATAAGGTGTCCAATGCGGTTTTGGAAGATGGAATCTAATGTTGACCATAAATAACACATTTTCACGAAGAAAGAGATATCGCATTTACCTCCGACTTTTGCAATAATCATTAACATCCCGGGTTCCCTGCGTCCTAGTTTTTGACGTCCCCGCGTCCCCGCGTCCCATACTTGACGTCCCCAAGTCCCTCGTCTCGCGTCCCCAAGTCCCAAGTCCCCACACACGCGTCCCGATGTCCCCGTCCCCTTGTCCCCGTCCCACTTTTATACACAGCCCGCCGTGTTAGAGGATTTTCGTGGAAAAGATTGTGCCTTTGTGGCCAATTGTTTACGAGGAAAGGGCTTAAACAAGCTTTGTGCCGTATTTGAAATATTTAAATTTTAAAATTTTTAATATTGGATTCAGGCTTTGAATGTATGAATGTATTTTCAAGTTATTGTTGAGTTTACAATGAAATACAACACCTATAGCGGCGATTCAATACAACAACATAAAATAAAATAAAAAGCTCAGGTCAACTACTTTTACCTACTGTAAGTATGTTAATTAATAAGATGAGCAATGATGCATGGCAGTGAAATGGTCATGATGTAGTAATCTCAATAGGTGGGATCTTTTTTTATACAACGCTTTGTATGTTGCATGACGAAGAAAAGCTGAGCATTCAGTGACCTTGTAGCAGCGATTTCCGCCGCTTTGCACGAGACTTTTGTTCATAGTAAATACGCCAACCGTGTTTCTCAGTTTTTGTTACATTTATAAAGATTTTGTTCGACAACTGAAGGCGTTTCCGCCGTCCTTCTGTCATTTTTGTGCCTGTGAAATGTCCCCGGGGCGGGGGCATTTGATCACCTGAATGGACCCTAGTGTGGGGCATTTGAACGACATCTTGGCCCGGGTAGGGGGGAATTTGAACAAAAAATTTCAAAAAAGTCAAATGCCTGGGGGGTTGCCCGGGGGGGAGGGCATGTTGAAGCTTCGATTTGACCGATACATAATTTTCAACACATTCCTTTGTTTATCAAGAAAATGTGGCACGAAATTAATAGAGCTTTTCGACTTCTTTATTAGGGTACGTCACCAGCGGCGAAGAGCGAGGAGAAACGGATGTTTTCGCAGGCTATTGGACACCTCGGGCGCTTTCCATTTAGTCAAAATTTCCGGAATTTTCGGTTCGGCCGTACATGGAACACGTTTCGTCGGTTCGTCCCACTGGAAAATTCCCAGAAAAAGTGGAAAATCTAAAAAGGTGGTCCCGTTTTCCCGGTTGGAATTTCCGAACGGAATCTCGTGTTCCATTTACGTTTCTCGTTGTTTGTACCAGTTCCAGGTCCACGGTCGGGCACCGCCACGTACCGGGGTTTACGACCAAATGGAACAACTTTTTACCAATCGGAAATTCCACTTTTGCTACCACCGAAATTTCCGGGTTTTTTTTCCTAAATGGAAAGCGCCCCTGGGGGCTACGGTTTTCCTTTCTTCAGTGCCCGCAGATTGTTCAGCGGATTGCGTATTTGATCTAAGCATTCATGTAAAATAATACGAAAATTATTTCCCACGTGATTCTGATAATCCACCATGGCTGGGAAAGCGTCTTTTATACCGCCGGTTATAGAGGACAATCCTGATGGCTGGGGTCCTTGTGCTATTCCAACTGCTTTTAAAGATATACCATATCAACCTTTTTCTAAAGGAGACCGTTTAGGAAAGGTAAAGCTGCGAGTATTTACGTTTTCGAGTTTTCAAAATGCCACGTCGGTTTCCTGCCCTATTAAAGCTTTAACAAATTAAATAGCTTATTTTAAAAGTTATTCTTTTCTTGTTACAATCAGTAGATGCTACTCTTTCATTTACCATACTTCAAGCGCCCTGGGATGTAAAAATTGTGATTTTATTTCAAACGACTTTTCATTTTAATTTTAAAAACGTTACTTCCACAGTGGACGAATATGATAACCGAATTTAAGCTTTTATTGGCTTGGCGTCTTTTTGTCAGTTAAAATTACTGGTCACATGAAAGTTTAACTTATCTAAATATAGGAATGGCTTCTACATTTCAGGTATCTGATTGGACTGGTGGCACTTATCAAGATCGCAGATATATGAGTGAGTCTTTATCCTTCCATTTTCCTTTTGTTGCTGCTTTATGGTGTTTAGGGGTTAATTGGAGTGGTGGTGAGGCTTTTTGACTTAATCTGCCCTGCGAGCAGAGGTTTCTTTTTAGCATGGGTTTTAGCATGTACATGTATAAAGTCATTTTCTTCGCTTGTCCAGGGACCGCACAGAGGGAGGGGCTGGGGGGGCTTTAGCCCCCCCACTTTTTTGCAAGAATAAAAATAAATTTAAAAAAATAATAATAATTTAACAAAAGTAACGGAGTGAAAAATAGCAAAAAATCGTTAATTTGAAAGTGACCAGAGATACTGGCAAAGACAAACGCGCAGATAAATACACAGAATGAAGCATCAGTCGTTACAATAATTGTAAAATATTTTTTCGCTTCTAACCTAGCAGAGGTAAACATCTTTTAAATGGCTTCTTTTTCCTGCAGACCTCTCAGGAAAACGCGTTGTGTCGTAATATTGGTCAATTTCGATCCAAAGTAATAACTGGGTTTAGTTTATAAGGCGATTCTCAAACAAATTGTTTATTAGTTTCAACCTTGATTTTTGGAAGATCATGAAGTTATTGTTTCTCTTGTTATTGTGCGTCCTGATTTTAGCTCGATCAGCGCGAAGTCCGCCTTTTGATGTCAGGCTTCACGGCTCGTTGAGCATTCCAATTGCAAGTTTTGTTGAACGTGGTCTGTTTATAAAAACATTTTGTCATCGAAAGTACTTAAACCGCAGAATTGTGTATAGCTCTGGTCATCAAGGAACATTCAATCTGGCAGTTATTACGAACAAAGAAGTGCACATGGTACACGGCAACATAAATACGAACGACGAGACTTCACATACCACTAGTAATGCAAAGAAGAGATCTCTTAAAATTTCTGATTACTTTTCCAAACAAAATGGAAAACCTTCTTTATCTGGTGAGTAAACTCTGCATAATTTTTGCTACTTTTTTCTGAGTCTGTTCTATAATTGAATTTTCATTCACTAAATTATTTTCAGTTACCGTTTTGTTTTGCCGTGTAAATATTTTGAATGAATGATTAAACAATTATTGAACTCGGCTTTCGTATGATATGAAGATATACAGATCTCGGAGGGTGTTATCCACCGGGCTCAAGCCTTCGGCTTTGGCGGATAACCCCCTCGATCTGCATAACTCTTCATATCATACTCAGCCTCGTGCAATAATTGCTCAGTAATTATACAGCCTTGAGTTCAAGGCAGCTCAAGCAAAATCATTGGATTTCTGGCTTATTTATAGTAATTAAAGGTTGATATCAATAGTATAACATAACAATCTATGATATTTCAATTTAGTGATGGTGAATTTTCAGACCCAATAGCAACATCACTGAAGATGTGGAAAAAAATCAATAGTTTTATCGTTATTCGCATTCTCCATCACTTTAGAGAAATTGAATAGAAATCCACAAGCATGCCCCCCCTGGCCCCCCCCCAAAATTTTCCTTCACGCATTCTTCTTTAGCCCCCCCACTCGAAAACTTGCTGTGCGGTCCCTGTTGTCATTCGTGTAGTTGGTTTGTTTACACCCTCAGAGAAACCTCTGCAGGGAGCTGTCTGTGGTTTCCATTGTGTGTCCACTTTAGGCACCTCCAAATTCTTGAAGGTGGGTAGTTGTGACTCAGGTTTTAAAGCTGGATTTAACCAGCTTTTCAAGGAAGTGGTTCAAAAGGCTTTTAAGGACGGTGCCCACTATTGTTACTGTGCATATTTTCTGTGCATCCCAAGGTCGGTTGAAACGTGAGGAATTCGCAACAGGTGGGACTGGCTCAAACCTGTAGTTTTATTTTGTAGCAGAGTGTTCAGTGTGCACAGTGGAGCCTCATAGCTAAAAGAAAATGGAAAACCTATTGATGCCAGAAAATTTGGTTATGACATCAGTGTACGCCGGTGCATACTTACTTACAGACTCTGGGAGTAGGGGCAAAAAAAACTCATTAGGTTAGGGAAGGAAGTCCTAGAGATGTACATTGCATTTTGTTTTGGCACAAAATTAACCAGTTTAGGGGCAACCGATCGAATTGCTCGAGCAAAATTCTAGGTTGAAGGTTCTTGTGTTTGATTTAATTATTTTCTGAAATAGATTTCTAAGACTTTGTTCTTTGCTTGGTCATGCTTTTGGTCACACTCCGGGAACAACTTTCCCCCATTGCTCAAAGTTTTGACAGGTTAATTCATGCGTGAAAATTTATGCAGCATCCATAAATTTGTTTGCCAACAGACTACTTGTCAATGACCGAAGCCATTTTTTAAATTCAGTTACATGGACTACAGGGAAAATCTTTGAACATTTTAAATTTTTAACTTTTTTAGTTCTTCCACTGTTGCCACAAATTCACGCTTCATTTGTTTGTTTTGTTCTTTTGTTTTTATTTCATTATGAAACGACAACAAAAGCTAAGTTTATTTATACACTAAAGAAATTGACAGTTGAACCTGAAATTAAAAGCATGAAGATGGGCTGGATAAGGATGGCGATGAAGCTGCTGGAGAAGTCAGTTCGATGATGTCAGTTTTTCAGGATTATCGTAGTTTGACCCAGACCATTACTGAAATGACCCAATTTAAAATTGGGACATATGGCCCATTTTGACTAATTTCTGGACTGAACACTGGTGTATGATGCTGGTATCGCCTCACTTGCGAAAGCTTCTTCATCTTGTTCAGTTTCTACGAGTGTGGCTTCCTGTTGAATTGTCTTTGTTACTTTTACTTTTGTCTAACTTTATTCTTATTGATAAGTAAGTACACAAAGCCCAAGCCCAAGAAAGCCCAAGAAAAGTTCCCGATGATTCTGCAATTATTGTTGCATCTTTTCCTGTAAGTGGGACAATGCCTTTGTTATGGTTCTTTGTGATTACCACTACACCAATAACATGGAACTTCTGATTGTTTGACAGTTTCCTTTTTCACTGTCGGTTTGCCCGCAAAGTTTACTTGTTCCTGGTTTCCTCCGGCAGTTTTCATTAACTGGTTGGTGTAAGTGGTGGCTTCAAAACGTTTGGCTGCTTCAACTACTTCCCTCAAGGCTTGTTTTACCTGTGAATCTCGGTGCCTGTGTCCATTCCCTATCAACTTGACACGAAGTGCTTTAGATGTTGAACCAGCTATAAATTGATCTTTCATAAGTTGGTCCGCAAAATCTTTATACTTTCACTGTGATCCTTGATTATGAACGCGCATTTCCCACGAAGCGATTGGTTTCCTCGGGCAGTTTTCATTAACTGGTTGGTGAAAGTGGTGGCTTCAAAACGTTTGGCTGCTTCAACTACTTCCCTCAAGGCTTGTTTTACCTGTGAATCTCGGTGCCTGTGTCCATTCCCTATCAACTTGACACGAAGTGCTTTAGATGTTGAACCAGCTATAAATTGATCTTTCATAAGTTGGTCCGCAAAATCTTTATACTTTCACTGTGATCCTTGATTATGAACGCGCATTTCCCACGAAGCGATTGGTTTCCTCTTGCAGTTTTCATTAACTGGTTGGTGAAAGTGGTGGCTTCAAAACATTTGGCTGCTTCAACTACTTCCCTCAAGGCTTGTTTTACCTGTGAATCTCGGTGCCTGTGTCCATTCCCTATCAACTTGACACGAAGTGCTTTAGATGTTGAACCAGCTATAAATTGATCTTTCATAAGTTCGTCCGCAAAATCTTTATACTTTCACTGTGGTCCTTGATTATGAACTCGCATTTCCCACGAAGCGATTGGCTCATTTTCCTCTTGAAGTAAACAGAGAAATTTATTCATTTTACGAAAAAGCAAAAGTTGACACGCAAACGTACAGAGTCAAAGTAGCTGCAAAATAAGAAATTCAACCGGTCATAAGTGAGTTTAGCACTTACGTTACTGTACTTGAAGAGCTGGTAATTAAAAGGTGGTTAAGTCTCACATAGAATATTCCTCAGAGTGTCTTTTATTGTGAGAGTGTGGACAAAACCGTGAGAAAAACTTTGTATAAAGTGATTAAATTAGCCGTGTTTCGTTGTGTGAAAATCTTTGTCTGGAAATAGGCAAATAAATTAATTTCAGGAGTATTTTTGATAGCAATGTATTTCTTTTAGGTGATGAAAGTAATGTCATTATCTCACTTAATGAATTAACAATCTGACTTGGGTACAACAGAAACCCCAGATGGCTCGCTACAGAGGTTTCTCTTGAGGCATAAACAACCCAACTACATAACTGACAAGTGATTCTCCATTCTTTTTTGTTGATTTATTTATTGGATAGTTAATGTCCTTGTAGCACAGGGCATAAACGCTATTTTAAACTGTGGAGCAGAGGTACCGGGTTCGATGCCTAGCTGGCATTGCCCGTACGTTTTTCAACTTATTTAATAGATTCTTTTTTTATGGTACACCAGAACTAACTATAAAATTTTCTTTTAAATGTCACAGTAACTTTTATCATGTTTCAAATGCTTCTAGTATATAATAATGATTTCATGGCAAGGACTTAAGCTATAAAAAGGGCACAAAGAGACTCACTGTACCCTTATTTAATTTTTTTAAATTCATTTTAATGGCAATTATATGTCTCATATCTCATTGGTTTATAGCCTCCCACGCAGGCGTTTTTCGGGGAGCTCATTTTTCATCCCTCCCCACTAATGCCTGCTCAACGGAAAACAACATTCCTTTCCCATTGTTTTATTTGCGTGGTACATGACCAATCAACAGTTGTGCAATAAAGTGTTCGTGACAGGCTAAACGCGACTAAAATGCATAGTTATCGTTTTCCTCCTTTTCTTTCCTTCTCCAAGGTTATGCAGTGCATGGAGTACTCTAAAATTTGACTAAATCTTATTTTTGCCGCTCTGAATCTAACATTTATTAGACGCCAGAAAGCTTTCCCAGTGTTTCGTGCAGATCAAGTAATTATCAGACTACCTTGTGGTCAAGGTCAACTTTCCAGAATTTGGAAAGTACAATGTGATTGGCTAAGCATGGGAAAGGAATGTTGTCTTCAGTTGAGCAGGCGTTTGCTGGGAGGGATAAAAAATGAGCTCCCCTAAAAACGCCTGCATGGGAGGCTAATTGTTTTAGGCAGTGGAATAATATTCCTCTTTCCTGAGTTATTGTCACGGGAAAAGACTCTCACTTGCTTAAAAATGAACTGTACCAGTTTACTGACCAATAATTCAGCACTCATACACTGTATCTGTATTCTGGCTTTCCACACTTTCCAAAGGTGGCTGCTGTGTTCATAAAAAAATTGTCTTGGAGTACATGTACTAAGCAAGTTTTAATCCACAACAAGATGATGTGCTTCAATGTCAATTTATTTTAAGGTGCTTTCAAGTTTCTTCAAATGTTCCCCCTGGGGCCAACATTTTGTGTGAGTATTTCCAAAATTCCCAATCTGGAAGAGGCAGTGACAATCAGAGTCCCCACCATAGCCCTTGGTCTCCCCCCTTTTTGAGCATCACATTTTTAGGTGCACTATTTATTTTATTATCAGTGAGAGAGGGAGTTTTGTATGCTGTATGTTGCTTAACACTATTTTGCAAATGCAGTGTGGCCATATCATATTACTGTAAAGTACCATTTGTGAAAAATATTTTTTTTCCAGATAAATACCAGTCACAGTTTGGGACAGGAAGTCAAATGTTTTCTTATTACCATGAGGAGGATGAATCCTCTTTTCAGCTGGTTGATACTTCTCGTCCTCAGCGTCCCCTGTATCAGAGAAACAAAAACAGATTTGGACAGGTTTTCTTTACTCATTTTATTCAATTGTTATATTATTAGAAATCTTTAGCATGATAATTATTTTTATGATGAAATAATAACACTGAAATAGCTGCCCACTCGCTGCCCACTGATATCAACATTGCAGAGATAAGTACATGTATATACCTTGTACAGTACATTTTTAAAGGCCCGAACCAACCAGGAACTAATGTTTGCTTTACAAAGTTGTTCATTTCCTCTTAGGAAAGTATTTTGTGTACAGCCCAAAATGTGAAATTTGGTTGAGAACACCATGAGAGAGGTACATGTATCAGGCTTACTTAATACATGCAGGGATGTCTGAATTATCCTCTTTTGAAAAGAGGGTGACTGAATTTGAATACTGGTACATGCATGTGCATGTAAGGTCCCTGACTAGCAGCACACAGTTCATGTTCAAGTGTCATAGACAAAAACTTTTTGCATGTAGTTTGCTGTCTTTATTAATTTTACAGAGGAATGTTAGAAGAGACCAGCGAAACCAACGGTACCCTTCTGGTGGTATGCAGAGTTTATCAAAGAACCAAAACCGTCAGAAGTTTTCTAGAAAGATGCAGCGGAATTATGGTCGTGGCCAGTGGAATGATAGAAAGCCTGCTGTGAGTGTGTGTTAATTTGACCTAAATTAAAAATTGATGAATTTCTTTGTAATGCCTTGAGGCCTTCTATTCCCAAGTACTGTTTAAATGGCTAGCAACCCACCAATCCCAACCATGAGTTCCCTACAAGGGCGGGGACAGGAAACCCAAGCACCAGTCACACTGTTAAGCCATGGAAATTAAAGAAGGGAATGGGAAGGCAAAACAGTAGGTGAAAAGATGGCTGAAAGAGCTTCACAATACCTGCTACTAAGTGACTAAATGGCTGATGTTCTCATGACTTCTTTGCAAGGGTTTTAGCTTATTACTTTGGAAAAATTAATGATTTTGTAGTTGACTGGATTTACTGATCATTTTTGCATGTTTATTTAGAATATTCAGAAAAGGGCCCCCTCAGTCACCGTACGTGAAGAATGGAAAGTACTGGAAGATGGTGAAATGGACTTTCCTCGTCTTTCCAAACTCAACTTGCCAAATGTGGAAGAACCTGAAGATCTGTAAGTGCCACAAAACAAATGAACTTGGCATCTTGCCACATTATTTTAGTAGTTTTTGATGCAGTGTACAGTGTAGCATTTAGTCTGCAGCCTCCCTGTTGTTTATTTGTTGTTTGCACCTGTTACATTTGACTCAACATCTAAGAGTCAGTGATCGAGTTCATCTAAACATAGGCACTTTTTACGTGCATGAGCTATTTTGAATGCTTCAGTGTAACAGTATCGGCAATCTACGCTTTTGATCCTAGATTAAAGCTATGTTTTGTGCGAAATTGGGCGTAGCTGCACATTAATGAAAATGAGAACCGCCAGACATAGCTGGTTTGATCCTCATAATATAGATTCACTTTTCTGTCTTTCCTTCAGACATCTGGTGTAAAATAACCAAACTGTTGAAGTACTATGAATACCAGACTCACCAAACGTTGCTTTAATACAGTGAAGACTCGAAGGTTTCAAGGTTTCTTGATGGTTTCTTTAAATAATGAAGCTCGTCGAATACCGAATAGCTAAGAAAATGTTACGATTTTTATCATTGTTGTAGATGGTTGCATCATCATTATTCACGAGGTTGTCACGTGCGATTCTTATTTAATGATTAGAAACAGTCTCTAACTCTGACAACTTAATTCTAAAAGTGTTACAAGTTATTACTTAGTTACAAAACTAAAGATATCTGCATTCATTCAAGTTACTATCATTACTGTGAAAAGCAAGAATGAGATGTAGAATCACACAGTTTGCACATGAAAGTGTTGGACTAAGCCCCTTTCGCGGTTCTTACGTGAGGGAATTCGAGTTATCACACAGTAATTGAGTAAACAGAATTATAGAAATACTCATGCACACAATTTGCAAGTGAAGATGTTGGACTTTGGCCCTTTTACAAATGATTTTGAGAAATCACCTAGGCTTCATTACAACATCTGCAATTAAATTATGCCTCCTGCAACGTCATGGTTGGTAGCCTAACATTTATTAACTTCCAAGAAAATTATCAAACTGCCGAAATATATTTCTACTCTGAACATGTTACTCCACTCAGTAAAACAATATCTAATAATTATTATTGTTTCAACTAGCTTCTTCCAATTTTATTCGCTAACGCTACTGTTTCTACTTAAGTTACGCATCTTTGCTAAATAAAATACTTTTCAATAACTATAATGACTCTTAAGCAGCAAGCTTGTTTCACGTTGTTCACCTAATTCATGTTTTATTTCCCTGGTATGAAAAAGGTCTGTTGAACTTTGTTACTGAGAGAAAAAAGCTTTTTTACAGGATTAACAATACTCGCCTTGCCTTTCAAACTTCTAAATTTCAATTATTGTTTCATTGGAGGAACTTTGAAAAATATATAATCTTTTACACTCTACCTTGAAGCAGGTGAAACAGAACTCATAGATTATGAAATACGTGCGTTGTACCATTTGCGTTAGCCGAATTAGGTCAGAAATGTCTCGGAAGTGGCACCCACACTAAAATATGGACCCTTAAACAGCTCAATCACTGTATTCAGCATTTGAATTATAAAGATATTTCAATATTATGCTTCTAAACACCTTTAGCTGTAACAAAAAACAAAAAAATTGTGAATAATCAAGATGGCGGTCTCAAACTGCCCTTCTTTGACCTTAAGCCGAGTGAATGTAATGTTAGATGCCAAAATCTCATTGGTTCCTATGCATCAACTCATAGTACCTTCAACCTTATTGACTCTTGCAACACAAAATAATCCGAACACGCAAAGTCACAAAGATACATATACTCAATCCATTGACATACTGTATGAGCTATTTTTTCAAAATAGCTCTAAAACAGATCAGTGAAACAGATCATGCTACTTGTTACTACTGTAACAGTTGAATCTATCCTTGGGGTTCCAGTACATGTAAGTGATAGCTTAATGGAGCATAATCTTTAGCAGAAGCATGAAGGTCAAGGTTGTCAGTTACATGTATCTCAGTTGTGCACAAAATGTTTGAAACTTGAAAAACTGTCAAAAATTTTTATTACAGACCAAGAACTATTAATATTGCTGAAGATCCTCTCTTGGACTTGGCTATAATCTTTCAGTAAAGTTACACTGTAAATCAAATTGTTTGACCTTGAATCAGAAGGAATACAAGGAGCGTTGATCCACATGGGCAGATACATGAAGTTGAGGTGTGAATGGGTTAACAAGAATGCCTTATTCCAAGTTGACTTTAAGACTTTTTTACAATAAGATAATTATGTGCTGTTAGTGTAGCTGAATTGGATCTGCAATGAAAACTAGTAGTAATCTCGAATTAGGAAGTACGTTCGAGCTTTTGTAGGTTTACTGTCAAATGTGACATTATTAGTCAAGCATGCTTTAGCAAAGCGAGACTGTAAAAATGCAGGCTTTTTTTTTTTCGTTGGTCTTCCCCAAATATGGTTCGTGGAAACTGGGGATAAGAATGGTGATGACTTTCGTTGTATGCAAGTGAGTCTTGTGATGAGCATGTGGTTTATTTTCGGTGATGACTGAGATGATGCATGTAAGTTGAACACGTTTTTGGCAATGATATAATTTTCCCCAAATCGTGGCCCTTGATTTTTGCGTAATTATGCAGGTGTATTAAAAAGTAAATACCCTGAGTAGGATGAGAAAATATTATTGTGGTGCATTGAGGCGCTACATGTACGATTCTAAGTATTGTCGCAATTACTGTAACTCTACAGTTAAATAGATTCATTTTGTTGTATTATTTTATCCTAATAAATAGACAACAAGTTCAACAGGAATACGTGCAAACTGAATTAACTGTCTGTTGTATAAGGTTCTGCTAAACTTACACATTTTTCTTGTGCTGAACAAAAACTGTACTGAGCTGCTACATAGAGGCTATATATATTTATACTGATAAAAATCAACATTCAATTTTGTAAGTGTAAAATCCCCGAAAGAGTTCTCCTCACTGGAGCAATATTAATATTCAGAAGGTTTCAAATGCTTCACACCGGTGTGAAGCTAAGATGTGCAGCCTGTCTCTCCTTGCAAATTTGAAGTTTTTAGTATTTACATTATGACATGTAACACTTGTTTTGTATTCCAAACGAATTAGTAGCTGACAATAAAATTTCCCTCCAAGCATGCAAAACTCAATGCTACTAAGAGCGTTCTTGTTTTTTAATAAATTAATCCTGCAAAATGCTTCCTATATGCTTTAAAAATAAAAAACAAAACAAAACAAAACAACTAAGGAAAAAGAAAAAAGTGTCACCCAGTGGGACTCGAACCCGAGACCTTTGACGTGTGAGGGCAATGTGTTATCCATTGCGCAACGACTACCATTGTTAATATTTTGTCAAATTAATTGGATGCTGTTTAGAGCTGGTAGAGCCTCATTTGTGAAGAATTGAAAGATACATGTATATTGTAGGAAAACAGGCAGGGTTTTGACAGTAAAAGCTGTACTTTAACTCATTTCGTCACATTTGAAAAACATCATAGCCGACAACTGTCTTGCAAAACCGTCACGAAGTCTCTTTCTGACGGTTGTACACTGCAATTCTTGGGGTTTACATGAGTAGAATATATTACGATTCAGCAACAGTAAACATTTCCGTTTTTATTGAACAAAGAAACCTTTCATTTCAGAATAATATTTTGCTAAAAACTGGGACCAGTTTGGGAGTCGAATAGCAATTGCTGATCTTTTTGTCATGATTATCGCCTGGACGAGTAAAAAAGCTTCAAATGGTCATAAACTTCTGTCTAAAAGCAGGCCATAGTACTAATTTGAAGCATTTAAAGTCCACATGAAGACAACTTATCATCCTGTGAAATTGTACAAAATCATAACTTGACATCAAAAACTCTGGGCTGCAAAATCAAGAGAAGCAGCCTTGATCCTTGTCACACTTTGCTTTAGAGAAACAGTTGACCTTGAGCGTTTGAAGTAAAGACAAGACTCTTCAACTTCTTGTGTCAACCAAACTCGTGAGGCTTTGAGATAAAAACAGCACTTCAGCAAAAATACTTCTCTTGAAACTCAACACATACACGAGGCTTTCACCTTAAGTCAACACACGAAACAGGACCTTGACAGCTTTTAAAAAGCAGCACACGAAACAGGACTTTGACCGAGCACAATGCACAATCATATATTAAAGGTATTCAAATGTCCTTGAAGGTAGCCCGTGCAAAAAATTCTTCAGGGGGCAGCGAATTTGGTGTCTGTTACGGAGGCAACTAAGAGAAATCTCAATTTTTTCCGCCTGATATGCACAGGACATCCAACATAACAGGAACCCACACCAAATTACGTGGCATTCTCCTTCATCGAACACAATAATGCAGTGCAGTCAATAAATTACAGTGTATATTAAAATGTAAATTTCTTAATTTGTAGGTATGTTTGTGGTAGTTTGGAGTATTATGAAAAGAGTTATGACCGTGTGACAACTAAGAATGAAGTTCCATTAGCTGGTGTTAACAGAATATTCCACAAAGTAACAACCACAGATGATCCAATCATCCGAAAGGTATGAAAAATGAGGATTTCACCCTTTTCAAGTGAGATTAATATGATATATATGTTGTGGTTCAATTTTTTCTTTGGATTAAATTTTATTTTCTTTTGTTTTTGGTTATTGCTATGTATGATAATGATTTTATAACAAAACAAAATAAAATTTGAACCAAAGATAAAATTGAGCCAGAACATGACAATTATACATATGTAAATGAATTAACTAATTGATTTCTGTTTCCCCAAATGTGATTGATGATTCTAAGTATGGTACAGTTCAGAGCATAAAATATTACTGTCAATTCATATCTTCAATGATTTTTTTACCGAGCATGCGCAGTCTATGTGTTAGCTCTGTATGTGTAATGAAACTTGCAGTTTTTGTGAATTTGTGTGTACTTTCTTGTGTATATTTTACTTGTACGTTTATTATGTGAACTGCATGCAATAAGGGGGATTCACATGCATTAAACAGTCACGTGTAATGCTGCAGTGCCAATTTGGCCCATACTGAAAACATCACAATAAAACATTGTGTTACAAAAAATAAAGTGCTTTCTTAATTTCTATGAACTTATGAGGGAAGAAGTTTCTGTATGTTAGTTTCAGTGTATTGTGTATAGTGTATAGTTAAGTATGAAATAGCATGAGATATGACAGTGTTAGACAAGCAATTTTCCTGGTCTTCAGGAGGATGCCGCGGCCAGTCCACATAAAGGGTTCAGGTGTTGACGTTTTCACAAATTGAGCAGATTGCCTTAACAGCCTCTATTTATAGAGTTATTTTGAAAAATAGCTCATATGTCAGTGGTCTGACATATGTATCTTTGAAGCCCTCTGTCTTTGTATGTGTGCTGCAGGGTGATGGGCCAATAAAGTTGAATGTACTATGAGTTGATACTAGTAACCAGTGAGATTTTGGCATCTAAATATGGCATTGATATAGGTCAAACACCGCCATCTTGGTTCTTTACAGCTTTTTTGTCTTTTATTACGGCTAAAGGTGTTTAGAAGCATAACATTTAAGTTTCTTTATGATTTAAACATCGAGTACAGTGATGCAGCTGTTTACGAGTTTATATTTTAGTGTGGGTGCTGCTTCGAGACATTATGACCTAATTCAGCTATCACAAATGGTACAAACACGTATTTCATAACTTATGAGTTTTGTTACCTGCTTCAAGGTAGCAAAAAAAAAATCATATTTTTTAAAGGTCTTCAAATGAAACATTAATAATTGATGTTTAGATAATTATGGAATTTACCAAAAAACGTATGAGGTCTAATTGTGGTTTTAGAAGTTTGAAAGATAGCTGATTTATTAAAAGCTCTACCAAGTTAGTTAATCCTTTAAACAAGCTTAGCTGTACGCTCTGGTGTACAATGTTCAACAGACCTCTTAGGTTATGTTAAAGTAGGCAAGAATTTAGTGCAACCAGGTTATACCTGCTTGTTTTTTAAGAGTCAGTAGTTATTAACACGTGTTTAATTTACGCAGTGGCTTTAATTAGTAAAGATGCGTAACTTTAGTAGAAACAATAGTGTTAGGGAATATAATTGGAAGAAGCCATTTGACAAAATAATTAGTGATTGCTTCATTGAGTGGAGTATGTAGGTCCTTGAATTCTCTGAACATTTTCAGCAAGTCAAGAATCAGTTTGTTTGATCTGATATGTTAGCAAAACGACTCATTGGCAAAAGGACTGTTCACCAAAAAAAGGACAATTTTGAGCTATAATTGACTTGCACGTGACGTCATGGCATATGCTATATTTGGGGGGCTGCCATGTTGGTGTACAGGTACTTACAGAAAACATGGAGTCGAACTTCAGAGAAATGAATGAAAGGGACTGCAGTTCTCAATCCCCACCTAAAGATCCCATCCAAAACTCACAAAACGTCGAGCAATCTTTCCCAGCACTAGCAGAGTATTATAAAAGTTTAGAACCTCATGTAAAACGGCGATATTTAGAGAAAATATCAGTGGTTGAGTTCGATCCTGGAACGCTTCGAGACGCAAGGATTGACTCGGAATGTTTGCCGCCAATTGAGGCAATGGATCTATTCAGTTATCTTGGCCTGGACACCAACTTATCTAATAAAGAGCAGTTTAAGGCCTCTAAAAGCCTAGAATCATTTAATTTATTGGGATTGGGTTTTATTACAATAATAATGTTCAAGGAGTCAAAATATAGGACAAATATGTTTTGACTGGAAAGGTTCGACATAGTCGGAGATTGAATGATCCTTAGCTGCCCATCTGGATAATTTCGTCAAATGAAGGAGCCGTTTTGTCGGCTCATTGTATGGGCTGCAAAGCTGTTACAAGTTGTTGTGTCTCTATGGGTATTTCCCATAGTTTCATTAATTATTTGGTACAGTATTCCTGTTGACTCCTAACTATGTGATATGAAGTCAAACAAAGCATTTAAACTTGTTCACTTCTTCTAAGAAAGTGGAAAATATATAAAATAAAGATTAAAAGAGGAAAAGGTTCTTTCAGACTGTTTTTCAACACAAAAGACCAAGAAAGTGCCGATGACGAATTTTTGTTTTGTTCTAATACAGTCCTGAAGTTGTTAGTTGGTTGGCGACTTTTTAAAGAGAATGTGGAGTCTTTGTCATTTAAATAAAATGAATGAATTGTTGATGCATATTATGAATTATTGATAAGCAATACCAATGAAGGAAAATAATTCGGTAATGCACTTTTTACATACAGTTCTGAAGAGCCAGAAGAGCCAAAAAGCAAAGCTTAGGAATATAAGCTTCGATCATTTTTTTCACTCTTTTCCTTCATTCACTTTTGCTAAGCTACAGTGTAGTTTGATTCTTAGCTTTTCTCTTCCATGGTCAGAGGGTTTATGATGCTTGTTTGAGAGAGTGAAATGAGACAAAGAGATGAAAATGTCAGTTTTTCTTTATTACCGTCAATAAAGCTTCTCCACAGAATGGCACTGGGCACATGTAATACAAAAGAGGTTTGAAGTGTGACTGTCACAAATTCAAACCAAGGGGTCCATTCAAACCAAGGGGTCCCTTCTGGCATTTTCTGTTTTACGCCATCCCTGATCATTTCATACTTGGGGGCGTTTGGGGCTGAAATGTCATCATTACCCAATGATTCCGCACGGCCAGCTCTGTTCAAGCAAATCAAGATTTTTTCTGGTATAAGTACTTGGCTTTATATACATGTCAGTTAAAAAACAATATCCTCCTCTGGATAACTGCTGTGGGCAATAACTGCTTCGTGATTTAATAACAGGTTCACACTTTCATAATAAAACTAATTTACAAACCGTCTTGCAAAGGATCTGCTCTCATATTATCATTAAATCACTTTTAATTTGTATCTTTTCAGCTCCTTTCAAAGGGTAATGTTTTTACAACAGATGCAATTGCAGCAACACTTATGACAGCTACACGTTCTATATACTCGTGGGATGTTGTTGTTCAGGTATTGTACATGTAACATTTTCTTTCGTTTCAGTGTTCCCATGTGTACAGTACCACTTAGAAGAAAGTTACAATATGCATCTTGTTTTCTGCATTATGAGAAGTGCGCCACATGCGACACTATTCTCGTCAGGCCCTACAAGAATGATTCTTCGCAAGAATCAGCACAAAAGTGAAGCAGCAATTTTTCGCATAAATTATCAATGACCTCACGGCTGCTGCCTAAGAAAATTTTTTGGGAGCCCCTTGGGCTCCTAAAATAAAAAGGTAGGAGCCCCAGCCACATTTCCGGGTGTCAGATTCGTTCAAGTCTCGAATCTCTGGAAAAGGGCTTGGTCGTTTACTTTTATCAGCGATAACTTTTTGCCTACGGTCGACGACCACACATTTTACGTTTTTGTTTCAAAAGCGCAAAATAAGCAGGGAATTCTGTCTTTCCTTCATTGGAAGTAGGCATCTAGGCTATTGCCATGAGAATCATAAGTTTTAGGTGCCCCTGCAGGCACCTTGTTTAAAATTTTACTCGCAAACTCATATATTTGCAATTTCACCTACAAGATATCAACAATATTCAACTCGGTGTTTGATCGCAAAGAAACGTTAGCTTATGAATTTGTTCTTAAAACAGTCACTACGTGATTCTTTAAAGGAAGTTGTTTTGAATTTAACAAATACTACTTTGCATTTGCTGACAGTACATCGCAAATTTGCATACTGTCAAAACAAGTGCATGGTTTGAAACCCTACTTGTCAAGTATTTGCATACTCGAGTAATGCACCCGCACACTATACAAAAGATATGCTTTTTGGCACTTTGATAAACCATCAGGGGCCCACGCAATCAGTTCTGTTTGCGTAACTGATTGTAATTTTAATGTAAATTTATTGGATTTACCATTTTGCTTCATCTATAGTAATGTATCACTTTGTTATATCCATTTTGAAATCACTGGTGATCCTTACAATCTGATTGGATTTCAGTAGTGTGATTTACTCATGAATCACACTATTTTGTGCTGTAAATCACATCTGTTCTTAATCGCGTCATTCATGTCCTGAATTTTGTCATAATTTACTGTTTTAAATTGCACCATTTTTGCTCTATATCGCATCTTTTCTGTTTCGGGTACAAAATTAGGTGAAATAGCCTTTTTGTTTCCGCTTTTCAACAAACCGGCTACTAGGTCCAATGAATATTGGTACTAACTGAATTCTGTGATTTCAAAATGGCTGTAGTAAAGTGGTAATTGAACTTCATGTCGTGCAATTTTGGTTTGAAATCATCTCTGCGATTTCAAATAGAACTCGTTCTGCGCGGTCGTCCGATTTTAAAATCGCGTAAAATTTCTAACCTATTGCACTGATCCACTCAGTTCAATTACCATTATAAATATGGACATGGATGAATATTAGATAAACATTATATTACCTTCCTTGTGGTATATTGTTGTCCTTTCGCAAGGTTGGAATTAATATTTTTGAATGGCTCCAGTGCCAGAGCAATTTCCTCGCAGAAATTTGCATTGCTCCACTGTCCAACTTTGGAGGGTCTTGCTGCTTCTTGTACCTGTTTTGGAAAATCCATCCAAACGGCCCAGAGCTAGCCCCTCCACAGTTCTCATGCGTTCAAAACACATAGCAAGATGTACGTGCACCAGCTAGAAACTGTCTTGCTGATTGCCTCTTTTTGACTGGATGTCGTTAAAGAATAATCAATTGAACATACGCACCAAGCTATACACGAAAAGCAAGTGTCTGCCTTTGTTTCATTTGTAAAACATGTACATGTATGTTGTGTTATATTCCTAACTGATGTTTTAAGCAGTTCTATTTCATTTTGTAGCGTGTTGGATCCAAATTGTTCTTTGACAAAAGAGATGACTCTGAATTTGGTAAGCTTCAGTTGACAACATCGGCACTTGTACTTTAAGTTTTAACTTGCATTTACAAAAAAAAAAACATCGCACTCGTTAGTGTTTACTGCATGTACCTCCTGGATGGAGTTAAGATACAATGCAAACTAGTGTATATACTTTTCTCATTTGAAAGAGGTATCTGCCGAGGGGAAGGGGTACTCTCATAAATTTTGGACTGGTGTGTGCCACCCAGGGTCCCAGGGTCTTAAACCCTGACCCTGTTTAAGGATGAAACAAACGAAAATTGATGCTCATTTAAGGCCCAAACCCGAAAAATGACGGTCTATTCACGGTGAAAAAAAGTAATTTACATGTAAAAGGAACACACAAACCTTCATTAAATCGCTTTCGTAATACTCCGGTAAGGGATGGCTGTGTTTCAATAGATAAGAGATAGTTTCTCGTCTTGCTAGGCATTTACACACTTGAATTCTAGCTGTTACAATTTAGGTACCCTATCTGGACACACTGGGAACACAATGCCAAAATGGGGAAAAATGATACCCTATTTAGTGATTGAGACCCATACCTTATTGGGCGGCACATGTAATTACGTTTCTGGTGTATATGGTAGTACTCCCCCCGGGTTTATCCGTTTGTCATGGAATTTTCCAGGCCTTCTAAGAGTTTACACATTAAGCAGAAAGTCAGGGCAACATGATCAGGGTTGTCATTAAGAGCCGGGGGCCGGGGATTTTCCCCGGCTACTAATAGAGTGGCCCCCGGCTACTTTTATTGGAAAATAGAAGAAAAATAGAACCAAAAGAAATCCCTAGCCGTTTGATTCCCCGCCTACTTGTTGTATTTACCCGGCAACTTGAAATCTTAGTGACAACCCTGAACATGAAATGATTGCATTACTTGTGGCTGATTAGGTTGTTTAACTAGTAGTAAATCTTTCTTACTTTCTGGGTTTATTTGAAGTTGCGTTGCCAGGTTCTGACTCATGAATTTAATTTAACTTGAGGGTTAAGGTAAACAGGAAAAACCTGATAAACATGTGGTTCCTGCACATTCACAAACTGCAGTATTAATAAAAGTACCACCATTTAATTAACATACAAGTTAGGAGTTAGGATGTAAAAAACACATCATAATGAATAATAACATCCTTAATATTAGATGCATAGATTTAATCCATAATTATCAGGCCTGGTATTACTAAGAAGTTAGGTTACATGTAGAACGTACTGTTCGAAACTTCAACTGCGAGCTCTTGCAGGGAATGATTGGTCCCCATTTGGATTTTCCCTTAAAACAAAGGCAGACCATGTTTATGGAGTGATATCTGCTATTCCTGTCATAAATGTCTACATTTTAAGTAATTCAAGTTATTTCACTCAAGGATTTCATCCAATAATATGTTTTTAGTCTTGCATACACTTGATTGAAAAAACGTTGTCGCTTGAAAAGTATAAACCATGAACGATGGGACCAAATGGATTTATGGGTAGAACTTTGTTAGCATTGCAATTTTAAAGCTCTTTTCAGAAATGTTTACAGTATGGAAGCTTTTCGCGACGGTGTATTCCATAAAACGTCAAACGGTTTCCAGTTTTCACGGCGAAACTTACAAGGTCACCAGTGCTGGACACATAAGAGATTTCTACGGTTAAAGAGCGTAGCCATATCGCTAACGCACACGTGAAAATCATAAGATAGGACCTAAAAGCGTTCTTGGAAGACACAAAAAAAGACAACAGCATGCCTTAAACAAAGTACTCTAGGGATTTGCAAAAGTTTACATTGGCACGAGCATCTCGTGACAATGTAAACTTTTGTCAAAAGAACTTTGAATTTGCTTTGCTAATGAATGTATACCCATAAATCCTGAAACCTCATCGTTCATGGTTTATACTTTTTAGCGACAACGTTTTTTCAATCAGGTATATGTTACTGGTCAAAACGAAATTCAGGTTAAAATTTTTTAACCTAGGTTGACTATCAATTTGCTTTGTCTCCTAGCCCTAGGTATTCATGAATCAGGGCTAGGAGTCAAAGGAAACTGCTAATCAACCCAGGTTAAGAAAATTTTAACTGAATGTAATTTGGACCTGTGACATTTACAGATGTCTACTGTACTTCCATCTTGAGGTGAAATGAAAGCCAATTCAATTTCTTGATTAATTTCACACTGTTTGCTCTCATGTCGCCATGGTTGAAAATGTACACAGCTTGCTTATGGAGGCACTGTAATTATAATGCTATCCTGTATTCAATACTACTTACCACAGTAATGTGCTAATAGAGCTTAGTATCGTCAAAGTTTTATCTTGTAGTCTAAAGTCTAAATGTATTTACCAGTAGCTAACATTGTTTTAGTCTTCATTTCATTAAAAATTTTTCGTTATCTGACCTTAAGTTTCTCTCTATATAATTGTTTTGTGAAACACTAAATTAAATCTGTATTTATTTGTTTTCACGTCCTTGCCTTCAATGTTGTCTTACCTAGCTACAACTGTTTTGTGTCTAGTGCAAATTTTGGGCTTAGAAATTTTCTGCCTTTTAGATTTGTTGACCGTGAGTGAGACTGCCCATGATGTGCCTTTTGATGAAGGAAATGGAATCAACTCCCCAACAAATCTCGGTCTTGAAGCTACATTCATTAACCAGAACTTCTCACAACAGTGCTTAAAACGAGGGCCAGAAAAGAAAGTGTTCCCCAATCCTAATCCATTTGTTACAGATGAAGATGAAGGTCAGGTAGCTTCAGTGGCATACAGGTAAGGATTTAACATCACATTTGGGAACCTGCTGAATGACTATTCTTTCTATGGCTTGGCTTGTTGTTTTTCTTAGTAATAACTGATTGATCTCTCAATCCTGTATTCCCTGTGTTGTCGAAACTATATTTTTTGTTGGTGTAAGGTTTATTCAAATATTCTAATGCCTGAACTTACAAAATCAATGAAACAATAAAAAATTGTTATTATAGACTCTAAAAGTTATTTGTTGATGTACACACTTGTTTGGGTTGTTCTTGAATATTTACTTAAACATTACTTTTATGCTGGACATTGATGATTATGCAGCTTATAATCTTCAAGTGGTCCACGTTACAAGTTTATCAGTTCTTGAAGTCACCATAAGTCTTGATGGTCTACGCATAGACAGAAGTATAGTCTACATGTAGATCTTTCCATACATGCCCAGCTTATTTGCAAGCTTTGTGTGACGTATAATTTAGCAAGATTCACATAATCCCACCTTAAAATGTACAGTATGTACTTTAATTTTATCGTTTCACTTTGTTCATTTAGATGGTAATAAAAATATACTGGTTCTAATTGCAACTTATCAACCTTTAGATATCGTAAGTGGAACCTTGGAGATGGAATTGAGCTGATTGTGAGATGTGAACATGATTCTGTGGTGCCAGGGCCTAATGGAGAGGAATCTTTCATCAACATTAAAACCTTGAATGAGTGGGATCCCAGGGTATGTGTTGCTTTTTTCAAGTATTCGTTTATTTACACAACAGAAGTTGCAGTTACAATAGTTAAACTAAAAGAAAGGTAAAATATCTCAGTTAAACCAAAATACAAGAAAAAGAAAAAGAACATGATACAGAAGTTATAGTAATTCAGATAAATAAGACCAAATGATTAGGGTTAAATTAACAAATGTTTCCAGTTAGTTGAATTCTTTTCTAAGTGCTGTAATTGGAGAGTGCAGTTTTTCAAACTCGTATCTCCAGCTGATCTCAGCCCTAAAAACTCATCAAAAGATAATTCATTTGCTTCTAGCTTGCTTGTGTACAAGTTATACTTAAAAAGAACGAAAGGGTAAAATCAAGATTTTTAGCAATTGGGTTTTGATTCTTCTATCATTACTAAGAACAAAGATGAATTCACTTGTGTATTACATGTAGCACGAAGGAGGTGGCGTTCTTACTTCTGTGTTGCTATTGTTACATACAGTGGCACACCTCCATTCAAGGGACACCTCCATTCAGGGGACACAAAATTTGGTCTTGAAAAAATGTTAGCATCATCTTTGTATTTGTTACCTCTATTGAAGAGACGCCTCTAGTCAGGGAAAAGGAACACTTTTTCTGGGACCCAAAATCCGGGTTTAACCTAGCCTCCCCGCAGACGTCCTTTGGGGTTTGTTTGTCACGCATTCATTTCTTCCCAGAAATGAATGCGTGACAAACGAACCCCAAAGGACGTCTTCGGGGAGGCTGGGTTTGACCTCCATTCAGGGGTCACCTTAGCACTCAGTAAGTGATTGACCACAAACACCGTTGATAACTTTAAGTGTTCGCTAGTCAAAACGGCGACAGCTTTCAGAACATAAACTGTTTCACTAAAATCGAGGTACTCCACTTGTGGGAATTTAACACACAACATTACAGAGATAATTGAATGATGATTAATTTTTTTATACATTATATAGCTGTTTGACATAACGACTTCAACAGATTCTGAGGCAAAATAAAAGAAATAATATGTTTTATTTGTTGCCAATGATTAATTATTAACAAAGCCCAGCCCAACCTCCATTCAAGGGACACCTCTATTCACATATGCTGCCCATTCTAGGCACCTCTTTTGAATTTTTTTTGTTTAGTACGCCGGAAAAGTGTACTTAGAATGTAGTAAGTTTTTTGTTAGTTTATTTTGTGTATACTGGATTCTGATGTCTTTATTTACTACTCCAGAAGGTTAGGTGTGAAGAGGGCCTGTTTTATTCCCTTAGTCACTGAGTGTTATATCAACTGTCTTTGTTACATGCTGTGCTCTGTGGCAAAGCTGAAGAAAGCCATGCATGCATGCCGATGAAAATGGAACAATTGCCTGTACTAAGCGTACTAAGACCGAATGAAATTCAGGGGACACTTCCTTTGGTCCTGAAGGGTGTTCCCTGAATAGAGGTTCCACTGCAGTCAGTCTACATGTACAAACTCTCAATTCTACATTGTTGTTGCTGTTAGCTTGATAGACGTATAGCAAATTGGTGCTTTGAAACTTGTAGTTAGTATATACTAGCCCAAGAAAAATAACTGATGAGCAAGATTAATACTGGACTAGAAATACGTTTTCCTAAAAATCTCGCGAAGCTAAAAAGGGAAAAAGAGAATAAACGGAAATAAGCCAAAGGGTAAAAATACCATAAAGGAAGAAAGAAAACGAACAAAAAGTTGCCCCGCCAGGATTTGAACCTGCACCCCAACTTCCGCCATCGTAAAATAAGCGGCCTCATACCACTGGGCCATGCGACCGCTGCACAGTTATAGTGTTAAAGTATTTTTCTCTGCCATTTACACTGTTTGAACCTCGTGGAGCTGTATTAATCATGTATTTAAAGATACATTTGAGGAAAATAGCTTAAACGAGTATTTCAATTCCATTTCGCATTATTTCCGTTTATATTCACTCTCGGGCTTTACAACGGCCGCTCGATGAACCCAATGTCGTCTTCTTCGCTACTCTCGTTTAAGTTCAGGTCGCCGTTCTTTTCGCTGTTAAATCTTCTTCGGCAAGGATTTCCAGCCACTTGTCGAATCGGGCACTGTTGTGTTTGCAGCCCCCTGTTATTTTCCTCAGAAATACTTTGCGATTTGCCATCGTACCGAAAACAGAGGATGATTAAAATGAGCCCTAGTCGGTAGCTAACCAGTTGTCTTGCCTGGAAACCCAACATGCAGGATGACGTCATGCTGAATGGCGTCATTTAGAGTTTGCTTAGGGTTTGTTGCTAGGCAACTGCGGATACCAAACCGATAGAAAGATTTACGACCAATGCGAAATCGCACTCCGCTTGCGATCCTCGCGCGACAAAATTATAAACTCGCTTCGCGAGAATTTATTAATTACAAGTATTATTAAGTTATTTATTAATTGCATCATTAGTTATTTAATTAATTTCTTTATTAGTTCATTTTTATAATAACTGTAACAATTCACTTTGTCAGATCAGATCAGTACTTTTGTTGGTTGAATTCCCCCATAAAACTTCATTTGCCCATCGCGCAAGTTAGGAACAGAATTACTGGCCTGATCGGAAAATCCACCATAGCCCCAGGCTATCGGAAAATGACTAATTTGCAAGCTGGATGTATTTGTAGAAACATGCGTGTAGTTGTTTGTGTATAGACCGCCAGTCCTCAAAAGCTACGCATTACAAGTTTATCGGTTCTTGTAGTGACCACAAATTTGAGGAACAGTAAATTCTAGATCTTTTCACATGCCTAGGTCATTTGCCAGCTGGGTGTGATGTATAATCTGGAAACATGTCCTATCGATGTGTCTTTGGTGTTCAAAATAAATTAATGATTATTACATGTATATGTTGAGATGGAATCATGCCTTTCAAAGCCTTTTAGGCTGGGAAGCAGTGTTTTATAGGTTATCCTACCATTAAATATTACTTAGAACTGGTGTAATATGGTCCTTTCTTTTCACTTCAATCAGTAACTAGTCTTGCCCTGTTGTTTTTCAACTATTGCTTGATCGGGATCCATGCGTGTGTGACTTCTTTGTTGGTATATTGTGGTGGTATCTTATATTGGCTCTGAAGGTCTGAACTACAAGCAAGTTTCAATTATTATCATTATCATTGTCATTAAGTACATTATGATATGAAGTGTTGATGTTGATGAATTCTTCAGGCAACAGGTGTGGACTGGCGTCAGAAGCTTGACTCTCAGCGTGGTGCTGTACTTGCTACTGAGTTGAGAAATAACAGCTGTAAACTGGCCAAATGGACCGTGAGCTCAATACTAGCAGGATCTGAATACCTCAAGTTAGGGTAAGTTGGCTGTGTTGAATCCTAAATTTTCGCCTACTAGGTCTACTTGTCGGAAATCTACCCACATTGTTGTGTTACATCTTTGATGTTATACGGTTTAACTGTTATGTGAGTTCCTTATTATTTTTTGTGAGTGCTGTCAACATAATCAAATGTATTTGAAAAGTGAATCATTGCACCTTCTAATGTCAAATCGTCAATGAACAACGGTATTGAGGCTTCATTCCGTCCTATTAGTAACTTTCTGAAGAATGACAGTCGTGTGTTGTTGTCATTCAGCAATTTGTAATCAGTGCTGAACGGTATTTTCCTGACAGGTATGTGTCTCGAGTAAATTATTTGGATTCCTCCAAGCATACAATCCTTGGTACACAGCAGTTCCGACCAAAGGAGTTTTCCACTCAGATCGCCCTCAACATGGATAATGCTTGGGGTATATTGCGCTGTATCATTGATACCTGCATGAAACTACCTGATGGCAAATATCTTATACTTAAAGATCCCCTTAAGGTGAGTCTCTTGTCAGGCGCGCACCCTGAATAACAAGCAGAGAACCAAAGTTTCACAAAGCCGGTTGCCTTTAATATTCCGCCTCGACTGGTACTCACTACAAGTATATTTTTTACAGCTGTGGTGATCATAATCTCGAGGAAAAATAAATTCTGGATCTTTTCACATGCCAAAGCGTACAGTTGTCTGCATGGTGTGTTGTATACTCCAGAAACAATCGATTTTCCGAGTTGCTATGTCTTTTGATCGTCACTTTCTCCTCCAATCAGGAGTGTGTGCGCATACATGAGTGACATTTGTAATTTCGTATGCTAAGAATTGGCTGTTTAAGGGTTGAAAGTTTGATTTGTTTCAGGGACGGCGGAGCGTATCATTTCAGTTAAAGGGTGGGCGTTGAGAGCTCTTGAAGGCAATTGATAAAGGCGTTGACCCTTAAGAGGTATCTGGGGGCACTCCGGCAAAACCAACCCTTTTTTAAAAAAGAGAGCAATTAAATAACCAGAGGTGAAAGTTCCAGCAACAATAACTTATTACTTATAACTTATTATTATTATTATTATTATTATTATTGCATTTTTTGCCTTAATCCTGAATCACTCCTTCATGTTGTCGCTGGTTGTCAACAGTACCTTGATCGCTTTACCTGGAGACACGACTCAATCATTAACTTCATTGCCGAGCCACTTCAACCCGTAATTAATGTTCACTCTTCACTCTGTGCAGATGTTCATGGTTTTCTGAATCCCTCAATAATAACTGGTGAAAATTGTCGTCCAGATCTTCTTTTCCTAATCCAGTGCAAGTGCCTATATGTTCTAGAATTAACAGTTGGTTTCGAGTCTAACCTTAATAACAATGCAGTGCGTAAAAAAGAAAAATATCTGAACTTGATCAAAGAAATGAGTAGAAATTACAGATGTGTGAAATTTGTACATCTCTTCATGAGCTCCCTTGGCGTTTTCTCCGATGAATGCTCCACGTTCTTAGACATGATGAATGACATTGGCATTGACAAAAAGTAGCAACTTTATATAATCAAGAAAATGATAAATATAGCCATTAGAGCAGCATATTGCACCTTTTGTTGTAGAAATAGGAGTTGGGATAGCCCAGACTTAATGTAATTTTGATTTCTTTTCTTTTTTCTTTCTTTCTTTCTTTTTGAATAATCCAATCTCAAGCAGCATTTGTAAATTGCCTATACGTAGCGAGATTTACAATTGTACATTCAAAAACAATGAAGTACAAGAAGGTACATAGTTATAATGATGATAAGTAATAAAGGCGGTGCAGGCCTTGTAAAAAAAGTTCGTTACTTTGCAGGGTGTGGTTAGAATATACGACATTCCTGATAACACGTTTGAATCCAGCGAAGAGGAAGAGGAAGATGAAGAAGAGGAGGAGGATGAGGATGAAAAAGGCGAGTGGTGAACAACTTAGTGCCCTGTGTTAATGCTGCAAATTCCGCATAGGCGTCCGTGATCACTGTGCACTGATCACAACTGTTGTGTTCGGCTTTCGTATGATTTGAAGAATTATTCAGATCGAGGAGGGTGTTTATCGTCCGATAGCCTGCAAGCAGGCCCACTTGTTTGAGTTCGTGGAAAATTTTGGCTGCGCGGAAAGGCAAAGACGGCGAGAAGAATAAGGTGAGAAATAGCGCGCCGCTAAAATTTCAATTCCCCAAACTTTGTAACTTTGTAACTTTATTTGATTTACCACAAAATACAAATAACAATAAAACAAGACAGTTACACAAAAGCAAATGAAAGTGACGAGGAAGCCCAAAAAGAAACCATGAGGCTTATAGACATTGGGCTCCCTCAGAGTAAAAATAAAGTTAACAGTAACGGTAAGGCCAGGATCGAAAGTAAAATACAATGAAGGTAAGTATAAATTAACTAATTACATAGACTGAGTTGACAAAATATAAGGTTTGGTACATGTAACAATAAGTATAAAAATAATATCAGACATGTGAAGAAATATAACTATTTACTACAAGATTTATAACTAATAATTCTTATATAATTTTTTTTTTTTCAATTTCGTTTTGAATAAGTGGAGAGAATTAGATTCTTTAATATCATTTTCTATAGAGTTATAATAAGTAGGTCCTTGGAAACTGACAGAAAATTTACGAAGGTTTGTCCTACAAGAAGGAAGGTGAAAATCGTTCGCGTATCTAGTGGCATAACTATGGACTTGTTTGCTTAAAGAAAAATAGTTGTTGAACTTTGAAGGCAAAAGAGAATGGTTAAGAGAAAACATAAGTTTACCCAATTCTAGCTGTCTAATATCGGAAAGTTTTAGTAGCTCTAATTCTTTGAAAATAGGGTGTGAATGAGAGTCGAAAGTTGATTTAGAAATAATTCTGATAACTCGCTTTTGCAAAGAGACAAGACGGCGAAGATTGGTTTTGTACGTAGATCCCCAGACAATAATACAATAATGAAGATAAGGATAAACTAAACAATAATAAAGAGTTTTTAGACTGGGTTTAGGTAGAAAAAATCTTGCTCTATTAATGACACCTATTGATTTCGAGATTTTACGAGCTACTTGAGAAATGTGCGGTTTCCAAGACAGATGTTCATCAAGGACTACACCGAGGAAGAGCGTTTCCTTAACCTGTTCGATTCTCTGTTCATTTATGCATATTTGCATTGGAAAATGATACCTTTTCTGTCTAGGCTTAAATAACATAAACTTTGTTTTCTTCAGGTTTAAGGAGGGTTTGTTTGCCTTAAACCAAGTGGATAATTTATTAAGTTCGGAATCGAGTGAGGCTGCCAGGTAGACAGGATCTTTATGGGACATAAATAAATTAGTATCATCAGCGAATAAAATCAGCTCGACGAGCGTCGATACGTTATTTAAATCATTAATATTGAGCAAGAAAATCAAGGGGCCCAAAATGGATCCCTGTGGGGACACCACAGCAGATAGTTTGAGGAGAGGAGCATTGACGGTTAAATTGAACGAATTGCAACCTGTTGGAGAGGTAGCTTCTAACCCAGTCCAGAGCCACGCCACGTATACGTATACTCGGACAAGTGAGCCAGTGTTCACAGGCGAATCGGCCGACTACTAGGTCTGCTCAAGTCCTCGAAAGCCGTATCCAATTTTTTAATGTAATATTCATTCAGATATATTTCCAACTTAAATACATGGCTACCCCTATGTAAAGCTATAAAACATTCGCCGGTTGACAATTTCAGGATGTTTATCCGGAAGACACTCTAGCAGATTCTTCAATTGGCAGATGCCATCTGTGTATTTGTGTCTATTAATTATCATTTCCATTGACGTCAGTTGCATTGCTATATATCAGCAAACATCTTCCGAATTTGGTCAGCGTCCGCTGGTTGTGGAAAATTAACCAAAGGAAATGGAGAAATATTTTGATTAACTAATATAATTGTATTTATTATATCCATTTTGAAATCACTGGTGATCCCTGCAATCTGATTGGTTCTTAGCAGTGTAATTTGTTCACAAATCGCACTATTTTTTGTTCTAAATCACATCTGTTCTAAATCGAGTCTCTTCTTTTTGAAATCGCACCATTTTTGCTCTATATTGCATCATTTCTGTTTCGAAAGCCTTTTTGTTTCCTATTGCTACTGACTGAAATCTGAGATTTCAAAATGGATGTAGTAAAGTGGTAATTCAACTTCCTGTTTGCACTCCACTCAGATCAGTTACCATTATTTATTGCTAAGTGAAGCTCTTTTGAGTTTGTATCAATCACGTAACTAACTACCCATGATAGTGCAAAACAAACGTTTTTCTTCCAGTTGTCAGAGATACATGGACATAGCATGTGGCTTAACTAAATGTATTTTGGAAAAAAAAAATCGTTAGTTATCAAAGTTATACATATTTTTTGCAGATACAGAGGAGAAAAGCTGAAGTTCTGGACTACGCTACATGAGAAATGTGACTTAATATACGTTTGCTGTGATACTTACCATTTTTAAGCTGCCCATAATACACCTTGTTTAACCCCCCCCCCCTCCCCTCCAAATGTTGGACGTTAACATTGTTCCCAATTTCTATTGAATATAACAGGCGTCCCAAGAGAAAAACAAATTTGGGGTGTGAACCAAGGCGTATTTGGGCGATGTGCAAAATGGTGAATGGGACAACGTTTTTGTTGGTCCGTTTTGACTTGCCTGTCAAAACATTTCTATTTTCTGGATTAGGCTACGTTTTTTTCTCGATACAAGTATAAACTAAGCGTTCCTATCTTTCCCTTGAGGTTAGGTTTTTCGGTGGCTAAAAAAGTTAAGTCTTGCAAATTAAAATAAGAATTTTGTAGAAACCTTTGCACACACCACAACCCACTACCGTTGCTAACGAAAACCTGCTACAACATTAATCTGTTAAGTTTTCTTTAATTCGTATTTGTTGATGTATCACAAACAATGTCTCATGATGTTCTCATTAAACAGAATTTAATGCCTATCTAGTTGCCCTTGAAAATGTTGTGTCTTGCTACTCCAAACATGCGAAAGATATTTCAACTATACATGGACTATCTAAACTCGTCGAGGGCGAACTCATTTTTTCTCCAGTTTCTTGTCGTGTTAAGTTTCTTACGTCCTCAAGTGAGGCTCAGGGTTAGAGGGCATAAAGGAAACTGGGATCAAAAATCTTCTCGAATGTCTTCTCACTACAGATACGAAGTAAATAGCAACTGGTTATTAAATGCCTAGTACATAGCTACTGTTGTCGCATTTATGTTTATTTGGAGGCCTCTTAATGTCTAGTTATTTCAAAAACGTAGTCAACAAGGAACACCGATGTACCCATACCCAACAGAATTCCCATTTGCAGGAACATGTACCCAATACTGGTTGCAAGGCCTTCCTCGTGCTTATTTTCTGGTTTCCCAGGTGAGAGGAGCATCATTGCAGCACACAAACCATAACCATTGATAAGCCCCAGAAGACCGACTGTGAGATAAGCGACCCAGTCAGCTTGCAGTCCGACGTTGCATGGCTCAAAATAGATTAACAAGATTGGTATGGCTATGACTAGTTGAACTAGGCAATTGCAAAGGATTGAAAGTTTGTTATAGATTATTCCAAATATAGGTAAATTTTTGCCTATTGCATCTGCCACGGAATAACAGCCGAACAGGATTACTACAAACCATCCAGTCTTGTCACTTAACTTGGGATCAGGGTTGGTGGTTGGCGCAGTTTCTGTGGTGTCGAGTGTGTTGGCTGAAGATATGCCATAAGCATGTTGCCTTGAACGCGAGCAGTTGTAGTTCCCGTGAAACTGCGATGTGATGCCAGGAAACAAAGAATTGGATATGACAAGCGTTAGGCAAATTGTAGTGAGGACCGCCCAGTTTTTTCGCATGACCACTGTACGTGAAGTGTGTGTGAGTTCAGTGCTCCTTAACAGTGGGGTGGTTTCCATGGCGTTCAACGGTCCCTCGATAACGGCTTTCACGTGTGTACGCAGTATAGGGAGTAAACAGCACGCTACGAGAATGATAAGGTCCACCAAAGCGACAAACAGGAAACCACTGAGACGAAATCCACGATCCCTGTCTTTGAGGTGCTCAAACGAGCCCTTGGAAATACAACGGATCACAAAAGTTGCTGCGAATGCGCAGACACCACCAGACTGAGCAGCGTGGATGCCAAATTTCGGGAAATGCTTTCCAACAAAACTGTACAGCGCACCTCCGCCGACATTTTGAACAACTGTTGCTGCTAATATCACAGCGAGGATAACTCCAAACCGTGCAGGTGTCGATATTACGCCGTGGTCAAGAGGGACAATAACCACTTCTGCGAGCAGTAAAAGCGCTGAGATGATCTGTGTGATGAGCAGTACTGTCAAGTGAGTTGATTTGGGTTGGAATGTCACTGTTAAGATCGCACCCAGTGTCGCTCCTACTCCCACGGTCACACCAATGTAGACTTCTGGTTTGTAGTTCTCAGGAAAGAAAAAATTGAAATAATCTACAGCATTGAAGCTAAAAAACACAGCACTTTGGACGGAAGCCCCAAGAAACCAACAAGTAAGGTATAGTTTCCATGGAATTGACATCTTCTTAGGGACTAAGAGGCTTCAAAGCCAAGAGGAAGGTTTGATCACGAGTAGCTAGTACGGCTAAATGGTCAGTTTCATGTCCACAAAACAAACCTGTTTATACAGGACGTGCAGACGTCACAAGACTTGCTCGTGACCGGAACTTCATTTCTTCTTGGAAAAAGTTATTGTATCCATTGATCCATTTATTACAAACATCCGGTTCCAGAATAGTTTGTTAATTAGATCATCCAGCGCCGGGAAAATTCCCTTAGAGAACGGTCCATTCATTCGTTGTTTTAAGGGGGGAGGTATTTTAAATTCGTTGAAAGATGAACTAGACCAGCACGCATTGTGCTCATTGTGGATAGTTTTCCCATAGCTCAGCTTCTAAAAACTTGAGCCGAAAAGTGGATGCTCTCGCAGGCTATTTAAGTACGGCGTTCAATTGACAGTTAATGAATGAGGCTGAGTATCTTATGAAGAATTATGGAGATCGAGGAGGGTGTTATCCGTCGAGGCCGTAGGCCGAGGCGGATAACACCCTCCGAGATCTCCATAATTCTTCATATGATATGAAAGCCGAATTCAATAACTGTTTTATTATTCATTCAAAATAATTCCTAGTTTAAAAACATAGCTAAAACATGCTTACCTCCATCGATCCATCGATGTTCATCTCCGATAGTGTACGTTTAGGTTTGTCCAGCTCCGCAAATATTCTCCAAATAGCATATGTCGCCCTTCGAGTTGTCTTCTTGCTGTTCTTGCCATGTTTTTAGCTATTTTTTCGCCTAGTACTTACTCTTGAAACGAGTGAAATGTCCGCCATTTTTTCAAGTTCACAACCAGAACAACTCAACGTCGTCCCCAGGTCTTCTCGGTTAACGGTGCCTTAACCTGCGAAAACGCTGCATTTTTGACGTCATTTCCTCGTTAAAGTCAAAATTCTTCCAAATTTGGTCATCAGTAACTGGTTATGGCGAATTAAACTTGTGCTTTTAGCCAATCAGAATCGGTGAAATATTTTGAATGAATAATAAAGGTCTTTAAACCGGGTCTTAATTTACGCAACAAACGAAAAGATCAAATAGGTCACTTGGGAATTTGTAATGCAATAATTCTCGGAAAGCGAATGAAGAGTTGAAATATTAGTTGAAACCGACCTGTTTTGCAGTCTGTTTTGACGTGCTTATTTAAATAACACACAGAAACTGAGTGGGTGTTAGTAAAATCGGCAGCTTTCTTTAAGCTCAGTTTCACTCGCTATAGAAGACATGAGTACAACCATTAATGAACAACTGAGTTTATTATTTTTTTTCAGCCAGAACTGAACAAAACCATATTTCGGAAATAAAACAATAAACAGACCTGTCAAATTGCTACCAAAATCTCGAAAAGTAAAACTTGTGTTTGTTTTACCAGTCCTGACACACGTGTGAATAGGTACCGGTAAGGATCGAGAATAAAGGAATAATAAAAATCATCGGAGAAGCAGCTTTCATTGGAAATAAATCATGGGAAACAATTAACTACAAAAAGGCTCCTGACAAATTAATTAAGGCTAATATTACCAGTCACTGATAACAAAACCTAAAGAAGGTTTCACAATATCATCGTAATGGCCTTCAAAGAACTTCTCTAGAACCGGCCATGAACGGTGATACACGAAAACAAATTCTTCACCATTTTCATAAATATTAGGTACCGCTGCCAGAAAGGCAAGTTCTTTTAACAAATATTTTTCTCCTTCTTCTAAGTCAAGTACATCTTCGGTTTCGTTCTCTTTGTTAAATCCCTCTCCCGACTTTTCTCGCCCGTTTTTTAAGCTTCTCAAAGCTTCTTCCGTGGACTGTGAAATATCCGTTCGGAAAACTTCATTTGTTTGGTACAGTTCTTGGATATAACTGTAGGCTTCAAAGAATTTTGGACATGTTTCCACCTCCTCTGTCCATCTAATGTAACTATGCGAAGTATGGCAAAGGCCGCTATTTCTGACAGCTTCATTGCATTTGTTCCTTAGGCGGTTGGCTTTGATACGAGCTGATTTCTCCGGGTTTTTGGATCCGACAGCTCTGAAGTTATGTTCAGATATCTTGTCAGGGATGAACAATAACACCTGACGAGAACAAACTCAGTGTTAGAGCTGTAAGAGTGCACGTGCGAACAACAGACGCCTATCCAGGAAAACAAGCATATCAATTTAAAAAAGTTAAGGAAGAGTGAAAGGCGTTACCCTACCTTCTCCGAGTTCTGCCTTGCAAAACCAAAGAGACGTTCCAAAACATCCAAGCTATAGTAGTACGGATTACCGGGACTTAAGCCTAGAATTAACGTTCTTCTATCGCGGAGGAATTTTTTCCCATTCAGAACAGCTTGAGAAGCTTCAGACTGAGGCATGTTGCCTCGAACCAGGTCTAGTTTAAAATGTCCCACGTCAACTTTTGCAGGCAATACATGTTCATCTTAAATCAGCACCCCTAACACTCCTCTAATATTTCTTTTTTCCTCTTCCAAGAAATCATATGACCTCATTTGTCATCATGTACCGATTTTTTTGTTGACGCGATCTCTGAATGGTTTCCTGTTGACAAAGAGAATTAGATCATATTAAAACTGAAAGTTTTGAGGTATATACTTACGCGGTCTCTTTGTGTTTGTGTGACTTGATCCAGCGTGTTTACGTCATTAGCATATTTCGTCATGTTTATTTCGTGAACGAATAGCCGACGATGATTTCTTTCTCCGCCGCCATTTTAAAGGAAACGATTATTCGAGGGATGTTGATTAAATAATTGAGCCGGGGAGACGATTATTTAAAACGGTTCTAACAGGATTGATAAAAAACTGCTGTTGTTGCTGTTTTTGTTGTTGCTTGATGGGCCTGGGCGATAATCTCTCAAGGTCAACAATTAAACTGATACGGAAATTAATTTTTACACATTAAGCTTAATAACTCACACAACCAGGGGGTAAAGCATTTTATTCCGCTTATTCCAGGAAAAGGAGTTGCCTTTGTTGGAACTTTCCATATTTCGGAATCTCGTGACTTTCTCGTGAGCATTTATTCTGTCATTACGTAAAGTGAGGGAAAATTAGAGAAAGCGTATTTTAACTTGAAGCTCGAACCATATATGCACTCAAAGCACGGTGGAAAATGGCGCATGACGTTAGTATATCTGGTTCCATTGCAACTGGCTTCATCGTTACCACTATAATGCTACTATGCCCTCTTTTCTACAAATTACTACAGGTAAGTGAAATCTGACAAGCAGTGAATATCTTCTCTAGGACACGGCGGTGAGATGAGGTGTTTCGATACAGTTTTTGGGAGACCATACCGATGTTTTTGAATTTCAATCACCTTAAAAGTGATTTTATCCTTGTTCGATCGCTACGAAGTTTCACTAGTGATTGACTGTGAAATGAAGTTTGTCAAAATACAGTTTTTATGAAACTTGATATCACCATAGTTATTAGAGGAGACTGGTTATGAAAAGCGGCAAACATCAATGATAAAAACAACAGTGCTGCAGTTTATGTTGGAAGCACCCTGAAAGTGCACGATCCTTTGTTTTCTGTTGGCAAATTGTTACGGAATAAATTAATGCAACGTTTTTATTGGTCAATACAATCAAAATGATAGGAATTCTTTTGAACGTTGTGCACTTTCAGGTCCACAAAAACATATAAAAAAGGAGTCTGACGGGTTTCATAACCATTCCACTCAATTAACTATGATATCACTATGACAACAGTAAAAAAAAAAAAAACCTTTGGAATCGATACTGAAATCCTAATCTTGCGCGATCTAGACCTGCTTCTGAAAATCCCCACGCCAGGAACCTGAAGTGTGGTGTTTAGTAAAGAACCTCTGCGAGAACTTAAAAATTCTGTATGTTTGAATCCAAATAAAACGCAAATATATTTCCAACCTTATATTTTCAATAGCCGGGATAAAATGTTTAATAAAAAAGTTCCAAATAACTCACATTAATCTTAAGTAGCGTCAGAAGGCTGCTTAATATTTTCCGATGCTGGGATATTTTGGTGTATTTTCTTTCTTGTGATCCTGAAAACTAACAACCTGTTTTCTCACCACCTATCTAGGTAGCTCTAAGTGCAACTTTACTCAAAATTTTGGCTTTTAGCGCTTTTCTGTCTTATCTCTAAAACGGCTCGACAGAATTCTTTTTAAATCTCATCACATAATCTAGCTTAATCTTCATGATGTATATAACAATGTATGAAACTTTCATCAAGTTTGATTCACTGCAACATCTTGAAATTTCAAGAGAAACCTAGCGTACGAACCGGCCAAAAATCCGCGTTACAACATTCACTGTTTTGCATATTTTGAACGTAAAACATTAACAATTTTCACATTGAAATGTACTAGCCATGGAGGTATGTATGGTGAGCATTAATTTGGAAGAATTAGCATAACGTCGGACAAGGACAAAATCACTTTAAAGGCGATTGAAAAACGTCGGTATGTTATCCGAAAAACTGTATCGAAACTCCATACGAAACCAAACTCGTCCCCAGGGCGCTTTCCCCTGGCTTTGAAGGTGGGGCGCGACAGCGACAGCGCCCTTCCTTCAAAGCCAGGGAAAAGCGCCCTGGGCACGAGGTTGATAAGAGACAACCAAGCCTCTGGAAAAATCGCCAGTTTCGATGCGAGATTATTAGTATCTGCACACGAAACACGAGAATACTTCAGATATAAAACCGGTGGTTTCGCAAGGTACAACAGTAAGACTTGCACAATAAACAGCTAGGAAATAAGCACGAATTGGTCCGAATGCGATGAATCATTCAGACCGGTAGCCTTATCACATCACCTTGTAACGAATTGAAGGCCTTTTCATGTCAGTGACACACTCCTCTCGTACCTCCAATGATTAGTCTTTCTTGATTGCTTTCTATTCTTCGTGAGGCAATTACGGACTTTGCAGCACCCGGTGATGGGGGCGCTGAAGGGAAACCTGACCCTGTTTAAGAGAAAAATCGTACATTCATTTCCAGTCTACCTTGTTTGAGACAAGAACCTCATCAATTAATGACCGTCATTCATATCGCTTCGCATACATAATTAAACCAAGATCATGGATTTAGATTTTTTGGCAGTGCTAGGTTTTAGAGAAACTTTGAGAAAATACCAACATTTTATTTTCAAAATGACCGGTATGGCCGGCCAGTTCTAACTTTTATTAAAAATAAGGATAGTGTTCCCGGGATTGTCATAGTGTTGTTTAAATTACGAGAAAGTAAATTCTTCGAAGGAATTCAGGAATGCACTGACATGAGAATTATTTCTGGCGAATTTTTCTTCAGAGAAACATGACAATCTTGACGAGTTTAAGCAATCTTTCTTCGTTTCCAATCCTTTTCCGATTGTCCCCAGACTCAAAGACAACCGAATCATATAAAGTGCCTCAATCCAAGGCGTTTCCATTGTTCCAAATACATTTTTGAGATCTCCAGTTTGTGTGTAGTTACATCTATGTGATTAACGCGTAAACAGAGGGGATGCTTAGGAGAACGGGGTCCTTTTCCATACAGTGCATGTGAAAAGCAGCCAAGCAATTGACGAGTTTCTTGAACCTCATTTTAAATTAATAGACTCGCCTGTGTTAAAACATCGAATGATAAACATTTCCTAACGTTTATCTGAATACCGTTCATCTTTATTATCTCGACTGTAGCTTTGTTTGGTTTATCTGCGTGTACCATGGAAGAACGCTGAAGGAAAGAGAATGTCAGGCGAGCTACCTAGACTGCCTTGGGGACATTTCAATCAAGTCAACTTCTTTGGGAGACCTTTGTCTAAAAAACACGGACCAATTTATTACATTTGGCACTGTTTTACGCCTGTTGTGTGAGTAGCATTTTAAGCTATGAGGCATACTTAATAACTGAAACGAAACTCCACTTGTTTTGTTTTTGTTTTTAAAGCAGAATTTTCTCAGTCGGTTGAGCGTTTGACCGCTCAGCAGGGGTTGCGGGTTCGAATTCAGGGGCCGAAGAATGGTGGTCTCGTCTCCTGGTAGGAGACGCAAAAACGGTGTGTCTAAGCTTTTGAGCTAAATACATTGACACTAATAAAATGCGCATTTTTTGTCAGTTCAGTAAACTTTTTCATCTACCAGGAGAATCATTAATCTCAATTATCTGCATGTGGCAGACGCAAGGCTTTGGCTCCGAGGCTATAAACAGAGTCTCCCTTTTTCATAAAAGCACCTCTCCACGGAGTCATACTCACACGAATGCTGAATGCTGCATAGTGGCAAAGGCTTCAACTTATACTTTATGTTAGGATTATCTTCCATTCCGTGTCTTAGCTTCCCATCCATATTCAGTAATACCCCGACGAAATGCCGGGGGGTTAAGAAAAATATTCGTTGTAGCTTAACGGGGGTACGGGGCCCTATTCCTCACATTTTATTATAACGGGGGTGAAAAATATCATTATAAGTTTATAGCGGAATGTTGTTTGAAGAAGTAGAGGCGTTAGAAAGGAATTTTCACAGTTGTCAGTTGTAAATTATCATATTTTGTCTTTTTTTAGAATCTTAGCTGACGCCAAAGCCATTCGAACTTTCTACGCCGATCACTACTCCCATCAGCGGGAACGGAATTTCACTTGTCTCGGAGCCGTGTTCAAAGATATACTAGGCAATTGCTTAGCAACAAGTCATGGAAGAGACGAAGTTAAGAGATGTCGAGGACCTTTTGAGAAACACTTTTCTACAGATGTCGTGTGCGATACCCTAAAAATCATCGGGCTGGAATGCAAGACCTTTTTGGAAACCTTACCTGTTGGTAAACCCGTAGATCTTCAAGAAGCTGGACTAGCGAATGTCACACTTCGAGTTTTAGTCCATGTGGTTTATGGAAATCAGGTCCTGCAGAGATATTTTCAGCGTATTGTAGAACTGAGTGATTTGCTGCAAGCCGCAGTAGACATGTTTAATGTTGGTGAAACAAGGTTACCTTTTTATTCACTTCTGCCGACAAAAGCCAACCAAAAAGCTCGTTCTTTTAACGAAGCCTGGGATGATTTCAATCGATTCTTGTTTAAGGAATATGAAGAGGGGCGTCTTAATGCTGGCGATGGGTTTTTCTTTGGCATGATGGAACAACTGAAAACTCGCGCTCTAGAAATAGATGAAAAAGAGGTATGTCAACAAGATCTCATGACTAGCACGCTAAAACTAATCTATAGTTGTCGAGGGCCAAGGCAAAAAGCGAAGCTCTGGAGGAAGCTTTTAAAAAGCGTCCTTCTCAAGTAATTCCACGTTTGCCGTAAGCAGAAAGCAAACTGACAGAATTCCACCTTAAGAATGGACCTGAGCTCGCGATCAATTCAATTCAATTCAATTTTATTCACACTTTTATAAAATATTTACATTATATATAGTACGGTAAGAGGAGAAGACTCGGAAGGAAAAAAGAAAATTAATGCATGGCTTGGATAGAAGTGTACGGTGGTCAGAGGAGCTTAGCTTTCGAGCTAACTAGATAGCATTTTTAAACTCAAAATCTCCTTGCTAGCTCACAAAATGTCACAAAATGAAGCCAATATCCCTGAAGTGTTTCAAAACTACCTCGTAAAGGTGTCTGATATTCACTCACACAATACCAGAAATGCCTCAAATCTTAACTTTCATGTACCACGATTAAGGTCAAATTACCGAGTTTGCCATAACCAAAACTTGGGAAGAGATTCCTACTAAGATAAAGACACTTAGCTACCATAAGTTCAAAAAAGAATACAAGCGAATTCTAGTTAACTCTCAAAGGTAACAATGTATTATGACTGTTTCAAATAAAATGACCTCTGACATAATCGTCCATAGTTGCCTTGGCACCAAGCGCACATTTATTATGTATTTCCACTCATAATACAGCGGTATGTTAAATATATCTAGAAGTTTGAGGTAGGGTGCACTACTTTCTCTATTATGGCTAAAAAATATACAGCGTATACATTTATTTTGTTTTGTTTGAACTTTAGTTAATCTACTTGGGTATGTGTTTCTCCAACTCATAATTCCATGGTGAAGGTAGGGGTAGATAAGTGAGCAATGTATTTGTTTGAGGGTGTTTTAAGTTAAGAAATGGCGTAACCTGAAAAGGATTCCCAAGTTTTTAGATATTGTGCTGTTTATGTGCTGAATGTGGAGAGCCCAATTAGTAGGATACCTAGATATTTGATGTAGTTCTTTTCTTCAATATTGCGTAAGTTAAGTTTCAGTTTATTTGCTTTTTGGGGGGAGGGGATTGTCATATAGTAGGTTTTCTTAAAGTTTACAGAAAGTTTCCGAGTAGTACCTAAGAAGATGGTTGAATTCCTCATTAAATTATAGTTTTTTCAAGGTCCTGTAGAGAGTTGGAAGAGTAGAATAGAGTGCATGGTGTCATCAGCAAATGTTCTAATATTTGCCTTTTCTAAACAATTGGGTATGTCATTGATACATATCAAAAACAGAAGTGGGCCAAGGATAGAACCTTGTAGTACACAACATTGGATAGAAAGTGGGTTTGATTTAACATTTTCAACTTCAACATACTGTGTTCTGCTTTTGAGATAACTTTTAAACCACTGGAGAGGGACACCACGGATCCCGTATCTGTATAATTTCTATAGTAGGATCTGATTGTTGACAGTATCAAAGGCTTTAGATAGGTCAAGAAAAATACTGCAGATAGCTTCATTGCTGTCAATTTTCATTTAAAGACTGTCAGTGAGTTCAAGAATTGCTTGCTCGGTAGAATAATTTTCCTTGACGCCAAACTGGTGTTTAAATAGAGTGTTTTCGTTTTCTAGGAAATGATTTAGCTGATTGTACACTAGTCTTTCAAGGATTTTAGCAATTGAAAGCCAATAACTGGTCAGCGGATAACTTTAAAAATACGTGCCCTCAATAACTTGTATACCTGAGTCCAGATACCATCACGAGACACTGGTCAGCGGCTACCCTTTTTAGACGGCTGTCAATTGACCGTAACGTGGATGTCCTATGTCAAGTAGGTTGTTGAATTGAGAAAATAGGGTTCTCCTTTTCACTGCAACTGAACTGATATGTTTCAGCCCCTTAAGTTTGCTTACATCATTAAGAGAAAATTCTCTCTTGCTATAACAATATCGGATGTGGTTGAGGTTTTGTTGGAAAAAGGAAGTAAAGGGACATTGAAAGAATAACAAATAACAAACAGATTGTGGTAACTTTAACAACTGATATGTCGAAGGCCTTTGACTCCATGCATTCAGCTCTGTTGCTGAGTAAACTCAGAGCGTATGGTTTCCAAGAAAGCCTAATTAGACTGTTGCGTAGCTACTTATGCGACTGTTATAACGGAATTGAAGCTGGCATCTCAAAGAAGTTCTTGGAGAAGAGTTAACCGTGGCTGTCCCGAAGGTTCTGCGTTCGACAAGACACTGAAAGAACTGAAAACAGAGCGGGATTGTAGCCATAGACAGCTGTTTCGCTATTGTTGTAGCTCTTCAATATGGTGTAACAACCAGAGAAAGCTCAGCTGAAAAATCACCCGCACACTCTGATTTATAATTAGGCCCTAACCCAGAGACGTGATTATCACAACTAAATACTGCAGAGGAAATTCCACAAAATTCCCAAATCGCCGTAACAAATTACGGGAGTGGGCATTGCCCTCAGCGGTTAGCACCAGTCGTTTTAGTCCATGTGGTCTTTGTTTTAGTCCATGAGGTCTTCGTTTTAGGCCATAAGGGCCTTCGTTTTAGTCCATTGGGTCTTCGTTTTAGTCCAAGGGGTCTTCGTTTTAGTCCAAGTGGTCTTTGTTTTAGTCCATGGGGTCTTCGTTTTAGTCCATGGGGTCTTAGGTCTTAGGTCTTCGTTTTTGGGTCTTCGTTTTAGAAACACCCGCCACAGACAGATGTTAACGAGAGTGTAAGCTGATTAAAGGTTTCACTGCCTGTTACGAGACGCAAACAGCTCTTAAGATCATTCAGTCAATCCATTGAATAGAAAGTGTTAAGGATATACTCTATTCCCCCCACCCTCTCCCAAAAAGAAAGAAAACCGCTGGCAGCCGTGAAGGTCGTCTGCCTGACAGCCGTTTTTAGTGTCGTCACGCAACGCTCCTCCCCACTTAGTGGGGAGGAGCGTTGCGTGACGACACTAAAAACGGCTGAGTAGCAGTCTACCGTGAAGGGAGGGCAAAGCAAAATTCATGTATGTAGTGGTGTTTTATATAACTTTTTTCTCAGCTAGGAAACACTTTGGTTTATTGGGTAAATCGCCATTTAGAGACGTCCCTCCACTGAGCCTGAGAGAAGCGCCCAGGTTAATTTATGATGTTCAAACAAAAGGAGAAATGATAACGCAGAGGTCATTAGTTATAGAGGTACAACTTCTTCCCCGTTCCTTTTGATGCTTGTGCAGCATGCTTTCCTTATTTTCCTCAATATATCGTACTTTCTAGCTTTTCCATTCTGTGGATGAGATCCTTCTTTTAAACGTCGATGTCAGTTTTGCAGCCACGTCCTTTGCACTAGCAGACCTCGCCCAATACAAGGACACCCAAGAGAAAGTTCAACAAGAAATAGACGAGGTCCTCCGGGGAGAGGATCCGAGCTCCTTCTCAGACTTGGACAAGAAACTACCATATATGGAGATGGTATTGAAAGAAAGTGCGAGAATGCACCCAGCGTTGGCGCTAAGCTTGCCTGAAAGGACAGTAAAGCAAGTGACTGATGTGGGAGGATTCCAGATTCCTAAAGGGGTGAGAGTATGACTTTGTCTGTTTTTTTTTGTTGTTGTGTCAAACAATTGCACACCCGTTACCACCCTGGTGTGGACCAATACTACCAGACATTAAGCTTCAAAGGTACGCGCTGCAAGAAGGCGGGCGCAATTTTGGTTTTCGAGTTGCTCAGTCACAATTGGGTTACTTTTCTTGTATTGTGATCCTTCCCGTAAGGGTATCCTGGGTACCAGAGGTTTCAATTCTCGGTTTGGGCCGATGCTAGTCTGTGCCCAGCATTTTGTTTGAGGGGAGGGGGTGGCGCTGTACAAAGCAGGCTACCGAAACAGGTACCCCATCTTGTGAATTTTCTGGCACCAAGGGTATCGATATAACGAACATCTATATAACGAAGTCCTCGACATAAATAACGATTTTCTTTGCCCCGTAGTAGTAGTAAGATATAAAAGAAAACGATGGTCGATATAACGAAACCCTTATAGCAAATAAATTTTGCCAGTCCCAGTCTTTGCACTGAGTTATATTGAAGCTCCACTGTATGAGGTTTCTTTGGACCTCATGATCTCAATCGCGGTACCTTAACGTCGCGTAGTAGTTTTCTTTTTTATTTCAGAGCACTTTGTAGTTTTGTCTTGTGATCCTTAAAGAGGCCTAACCGTCGTAGAATGACTCAAGATTTTTCTCCCAAATAAATAGCTAACTGCTGGTTCACCAAGAAAGGCAAACGAATATTAGCGCTTTTTCCTAGATACTGAATGTTGCAATCGCATTTGCGTCTTGAGAGGGCAAAGACAACAACAATTTATCTTTTAAATTAGTGCTGAGCGAAGGATTCAACATATACGAGTTCATCTCAAGGGTGCTGCATGGGTTTACTAACTTCTAACTGAAAATAATTGTTTTTCTTTCTTCTTGCTGCAGACGCCAGTTTGCGTAGATACCTATTCCCTGAACTTCTCTGAGCAGTTTTGGGAAAATCCTGAGAAATTTTACCCGGAACGGTTTTCTAATGGCATGAAACACGTAGCCGGTTCTTTTTTTCGCTTTGGACTGGGTCCCCGGAAGTGCCTCGGGTATCGGTATGCCCTAGCGATTACTCGTTTGGTGGTGGCGTCAGTTTTGCAGAGGTTCACACTTGAACTGGCCCAACCCAGTGGTGACCTGA